ACAAGAAAACTAGCAGTAAGTGTATGCAGGACATGTGTTTGAATGTTAGGCTGAGAGTACCCCAAGTTCAGGTCACAAGCAAGGGACAGAGAACAGAAGCCTATTTGAAATCAAGCTTCTACTCCCCTGGGAACCACATGGATCCTAGCAACACTGAACAAAGGGCTATAGACAAAGCAATAGAGGATTCTGGACCATAAACCATTTTTCTATCTCTGAGCTGTATACATTCACACACTTCCCTGTCCAGCATTAGCACTGTCTACCATGCACATGGGTGATGCCACCATCTGGGCAAATTGTAAATGCTAGGATTTTCTGTTTCAGGAGGATTTGGGATTATATAATGAGTTTGTTATCATATCACTTGGTCTCTGCAGGGGAAGATCCAGAGACCTGGGACACTGTTCATTAAGCAAAGAAGTCTGACTTGCAGGAAACCACCACAAAGCCCACAGTCAGCCAGGCAGAGAGGGAGCCAGTCAGAGCACTGCCAGGGAGACAAGAACCCAAGTAGGACAAGTCTTACTGGGGATACTTCACTAACCCAAGTAATTCTAGTGTGCATTCAGGTGAACCGCACACGGAGAAGGGAATGGTAGGATGTTAGCACATTTACTCAATCCCTCCACCACATACTTTAACCATGTAGTAGTCTTAGTAGCTTATATGCTTTTGAAGGGAAGCATAATGCTTCCCTTCAAATAAGCAGAACCTGCTTATTTAAGGTTCTGGAGAAGGGGCAGATGGAAAGAGAAAAAATGTAGAAAGACCCACAGGCAGCAAGTGTCCACAAAAGACTCTTAGCAGAGTCTTTATTCCTGAAAGTAGAGAGAGAGAGAAATATATACTGAAAAGAGGAAAAATAAAAAGGGGTCTAGCAGTGTGCACAGGAGAATAACTGGAATTGAAATATCTTCTCTCAACACCACTCATCTGGTCTTCTCACTGTGGAGCATGATCCAGCACACTGGTCGAGAAACACTTCTCTTGTCTCCTCTGCACACACTGCTTAGCGCTAAAACACAAAGTTTTGGGGATACGGGCATTAGTGCCATACCACCTTGGTGCCAAAATTGCATGCAAAAAGTGAACGGTTGTGAAACTCTGCCCAACTGTCATATATACAATATCAATGTTACACTTCATATTTTGATGATGCAATGGTCTAAGCCAGGACACACAGTTTAAATAAGGAAGTGCTTAGACAACACAGTGCCTCATTTTCCCCTTTGTGCAGGAAAGGACAAAAACTTTATGCTACAAGGAAGTGGAAGACCCCCTGGCCTCCACTAGCAGCCAATTCCCAGGACTGATCAGCTAGAGCGTTACCAAGATCCATAAAGACTGAATGACAGGCACATACAAGGCAGACCAGGTACCTCTGAACAGCAACTCAAGCCATGTTCTGTGCCTTAGGCCTGTCTTCACCTCTTTAAAAAAAAAAAAAAAAAAAAAAAAAAGATTTATTTATTTATTTACACAAGCACTGGGTACAGTCAGAGCGTGGGAGGATGAGAGAATCCACCAGAGCCAGAGCAGGGAGCAAAACAGGTAGACTGATGAAATACACTGCTGAGGGGAATAGCGGGCACGGCAAGAGAGGTCTGCACGCCATGGGGGACCCTCACCGGTGGCCGAGGATCGAACTGGCGCTGCAGAGGCTGTGGGCAGCTTCACACCCCAGAGCTTAACCACTGCGCCACCGGGGAGGCCCTGTCTTCACCTCTTTACTCAGGGCTCTGTGTCCCCATTGTGAGACAACTTGAATGCTGCCGGACAAAGTGCAAAGAGGATATTCTCGCTTCCTTACCAAGCCAGTAAGGTTTACTGAATGGTAAAGGCATACTCCTTCCTCAGCTTCCTTCTCAACTGTCATGGTGTCAGCAGATTTTATGGGAGGAGAGATGAGGGAATGGACAGGCTCACTACCCAGAGCAATTTTGGGGCGCAATTATGAGACTCCACTGGCAGTGCTTTAGGAACTACAAGTTGGAGCAAGTTGCCCTGCACTTACAGGAGGGATTAACTAAACCAATTTCATGTAAATCAATTTGCACTGTTCAGATGATATGTTCATGAAGCAAACAAGTCACTCCAACTTTCAGCAGTACTTCCTGGAGGTGGCCTCACAAGGTACAACATGCTAGAAGAGAAGCCTAATAGTCATGAAAGTAAATGGGAGAGAAACCATCACCATTTCTTGTCTGGATTCTCTACCGGTATTGGCACTGCCCCTCCCTATCCTAATCCTGGAGCTGCAAAGAAGAGGCAGGCCCCAAACAAGCAGGGGGCCAAGATACTAGGCCAAGGCTGGGACTTCAGCCCAGTCAGCAGAGGACTCTGCATGCACGTTGTAGGCACTTAATAAAAATTGTTGACTCACCACTGCTAAATGCTAATCATACTTATACAGCTATGCCTGAAATTATTTATGTCACTTTTCAGTAGAAATTAACTAACTGCCCCCATATATAGGCTAAAAATGGGTGAGGTTATGTTTTCAAATGAGTCTGACTCAGATCATTAGGTTGGAGTACATTAGATATGATTCACGCCTCGACTTAAAATAATCACCATTACTCTGTAGGCCTAGTTTTATATATGTTTTCATTCAGTTGTATGTGTATCAGAAAAAAAATAGACTTGGGAATTAAGTAGGTGATAGATTTGGCTGGGGGGGGGGATAACAATGGCAAGTTAAGATTTCCGGTAAACTAGGGTTCCTGCTTACACCTGGTCAAACTATTATCCCTATAAAAGGTAAATGAAGTACTTTCTTTGAAAAGCATAATGCTGAGTTTATAGAACCCTTTCATCTTCAAAGGGCCAAGCCAAGACTCACAATACCCAGCACACAATATTATGCCTTTTACACGAGTACATCAACTATGAAAGAAAGGTCATAGGAAGGCCCTAAGGCCATGAAGCCAACGCAACATCAGATTTGGGATGAACTGTCTGATCTTCTTGGCTCCTAGACCTGTATTTCAGCCACATAAATCAAGTTGTGAAGAACAATCAGGGAAAATCTAATTCACATTATATATCTATATTAAGTTAATTGATTGGGCAGGAATATATGAAAATAGCGCTGTTTCCCCCTCAGGGCAGTGATGGGTAGAAGACAGGATGCGAAGGTTAAGGGTAATCAGCAGGGCAGAGTCAGAAGTAGGGGAGGGTATCTCCGCATTTCCCTTGTATTGGAACACTACCAGACGAACATTTGAGTAGTGGGAGGGGAACAGAATGGGTGAAAGGCAGCCCTTAGGGTCCAACTTGCCAATCAGAGGAATCAAGCTCTCCACAGCACTTGTCTGTGCCTAGTCTCCAATATATTTCTTTATCATGGCTCCCCATAGGAGACACACCGCCATCACTTCCACCCACCGCACACTCAGAAATGGTCAAAAAGGCAAAGTGATTGAGGACCAAGAGGCTGCAAGGCTGAAGGCTGGAAGTGCACGGGTTGATGGATGGGGGGAGTCTAGTCTAGGGCATGGGTAGGGTCTGAAGGGAGATCGGAGTGGGCAGGTCGATGTGCAGGAAGAAGAGGAGTGGGTGTGACGGTAGACAGGGCAGGGTGGAAGAGAGCGAAGCACTCAGCGACCCCAAGATCGCAATTTTCTGCTCTAAGAATCGCCTGCCAGAATTCACGTGCAGCACACGAAGTGCTAAGTTTTCTGCACCTTATCATCCCCTTAAATTTTCTGTCCATCTATCCCGGCGTCACTGACTTCATTCCTACGAGTCCGGAATGGAAAACCCCCATGTCTCCCGGGTTCAGTCGCAGTCTGTCCGGGGGTCCTGCGCAAGTTTCCCTCTCCCCCACTGAGCTGTTTTCGCAGCTAGGCCAGAAATAGGGAACCACCGAGACCGAGCCTCGAGGATCGCTCCCCTGGCAGGAAAGGGCTTAAGTTTCACCGGCCTCCCGCCGGCCGGGTGTCCGCAGCATCCCGGCGGCTGCAGCAGCCACTGCCCGGCGGACAGACGGCCCGCTGAGGGGCGCCGCCCGGACCGAGGAGTCGGCCGGCCGCGGGAGCGTGGGAAGGCGCCGGTGCCCTTTCCCAGCCTCGCGCCCCGGCGCCGGGGACCCGGCCGGGCCGCACCGGGAGGCCTCCGCCCCGCACCCCGGAGAGCCAACTCCGTCCCAGCAGGGCAGCGACGGGCGCCCGGGCCCCATCGGCGCACGGGGAGCCAGAGATGACCCGGGTGCCTGCCGCAGCCGCCGCCTCCCGCCCCGGGGCCCCGCCACCCCGCCCCGCTGAGCCCCGGAGCCCTCGGCCCGCGCCGGGCCCCGGCGGCACCTGAGAGGCGGCCGCAGCCGGGGCGACCTCGGCGCGGGCGGTGGCGCTCAGCCCCCGGGGCCGCGGCGAGGGGGCGCGTTTTACCCATAGCGTTCCCGGGTGCCAGCCATCTCCTCCGCGCGCCCGCGGGCGCCAGGCGCTCGTCTGCCTCCGGCGCGAGCTGGCTCGGGCTCCGGCGCGAGCTCCCGGGCCGCCGCCGCCGCCGCCGCCGCCGTGGCCGCCGCCGCTCTAGGCCGCCGCCCGCCTTCGCCGCCGCGCGCCGCGCCAGGGACAGCACGGCGGCCGCGACGCTACGGCGGCTGGGTCTCCCGAGCCCAACTTAAGAGTTTTCGCCCCTCAGTCCAGGGGCAGCACCATGACACCACGGCCGCACCACACTGTCATTTCCGCTGCCGCAGAGGCAAAAAAAAAAAAAAAAAAAAAAAAAAGGCGATCCCGTCGAAAAGGGGGGGGGGCAGTGGGAGCCAACAGGCCAGGGCTGACGCCCCGAGGGAGCTCTGGGAAGGGCCCTGGCAGCAGGGGCGCTCGGCCACCTTCCCGGGCTCACCTTCCGCCACCCCCGCCGCTCCCAGCTCCCCCAGCCCCTCCTTTGGAGGCGCGTTTACAGGTTTTCTCCCCCGGCGGGAGGGACCAGAGAAACCTGAGCAAGCAAAGGCAGCGGGTGGGTGGGGTTCTGGTTACTACTGTACCTACCAGCTGATTCCAGCAGCCTTTTCTCCAGCGCCCTGTCATCTTGAAGGAAGACACACCGAAAGGGACCCGGGTGTGCTCGTGTGTGAGTGTGTGTGAGTGACTGTGTGTGTTTGTGTGTGTGTGCGTGTGTGTGTGTGTGTGTGAGACAGAGAGAGAGAGAGAGAGAGAGAGAGAGACAGAGAGAGAGAGACAGAAAGAGAGAGAGGGAGAGAGAACAAAATACAGAATGTGTGAAATGCAGAAGACTACAGCCAAACTCTTTCCACCCACCAACCCCTACTCCCACAAACCCCCAAGACACCGAAATGGCCTTTCAACCAGGAATGAGAAGAGAGGCCTAGGTCCACCCCACAGGTCCTTGGATAAAGCTGTTCTATGTAAAGTTAACTACAGAGTAAAACAAAAATAGTGGAGGAGACAGAAAAGGGCAGACAATTGAAGGAAACCCAGCCCCTCTTTCTTTTTACAAAAGGAGAATGGCCGAGCTTTATTGGCCTTGAGCAGAAGTGTTAGCGATGGATTAGAGCCATCAAAATTTAAAAAGCAAGCAAACAAACACAACATCGGAAGTACTTTCATTTGCACATTCAAAGCTTTAATGGGCAAAACAAAAGGGTCATAACTAAGAAGACAATAAGGTGGATTCCAACTAGCCAGGTGTATTCAATGTCCTCATTATGCTAATTGCTCCTTCTGCAGCCCTGGAATGCTCCTGGTCTGGAGCCATCCTAAGGACTGACTTATCTTTGGCTCAGAGACCACCACCCTACTCATCAGGAGGATGGGAGAGGGCAGAAGGACGGGTTCCAGAGAAGATTTTCCTCCTAAATGGGAAATAAGAGGAGATGAAGGGGAAAGAAGCAAGAAAATGGGGGGAAGCACCCCCTCTCACATAGGCCTCCCATTACTGTGCATGGGAAAGAATCCAGAAAAACTAAGGTAACTCTGGGCGTATCCCATCAGTAATTAGCCAACACCCCTGTTAAACAATGTGCTGAAGAGCACTGAGGTGGAAACAGACAAAAATCACAACCAGGCTGTCCTGATGAAACTCTACCCTCATAGGACTAAAAGATAGTGAGTCACACCATAAGCACAGGCAACAAAAGCAAAAAAATAGACAAGTGGAGTGCATCAAATTTAAAAATTTCTGTGCAGCAAAAGAATCAACCAAGCAAACAGGCAAGAATGCAGGAAAAATATTTGCAAACCATACATCTGAACATGGAATGAAATACCACCTCATTTAAAAAAAAGGCAATAAATAGCCTAATTTAAAAATGGGTGAGGAACTTCAATAGACATTTCTCCAAAAATACACCATTTTTCTACTCTGAATACCTCTCTCTTATAAGTGGAATCATGCAGAAATTGTCCTTATTTCACTTGGCATATTATCCTCAAGGTTCATCTACGTCGGTGTCTATGGCATGATTTCCTTTTATTTATAAAAAAGGTTAAACGTATATGTCACATTCCATTGCATGCATACGCCACATTTTCTTTAACCATTCATCTGTAGATGGACATTTAGGTTGCTTCCACCTCTTGGCTATTGTGACTAACGCTGCAACAAACATGGCGGTGCAACTATCTCTTTGAGATTCTTCTTTCAATTCTTTTGGACTGATTTCCACAAGTGGAATAGTAGTGTTATAGGACAGGGAGAGGGGCAGCCCAAACCCCGCAAACCTGCCTATTCTAAATGGATTCTGCCATCCGCCGCATCAACACAAAACATAGGAGACTTTAGTGGGAAGGAACTTTAATAAAACTAGGAAACAATACAGGTAAGGCAAAGAGTCTCGTTTCTAAATGAAACACCCAAAGTTACCCGTCCCCTCGTGGGTAAAAGTCCATCCATATGGGAATGGCGCAGAGCAAGGCCCCAAAGCCTGCCCCAAGTCTAAAGCACCTTCCAGTGGGGACCCACAGAAAAGAGTCAGAAATAACCAGACAAGCCCAGAAGGAAAAGAGCAAAATCAACATCAAGATAAAAGCTGCCATTGTCACCTCCCCATCGGTCTCACCCACATCTGTGTCACCCAGTCCACGACCAAAAAGACAAGCTGTTTCTTCACGTGTCTCTAGGCTCCACGCGCCTCCTCCAGGTCTCCTGGCTCCATCCTGCTTCCTTCCTCAGTCTCTTCTGCGGCTTCTCCTCTTCCTGCTCAGCTCCACCTCCCTTGGGTGGGGCAGGGAACCTGGAACTTCCCCCTTTCCTGGGGACCACCCTGTTACAGTAGGATCATATGATAGTTCTAGTTTTATTTTTTTGAGGCACCTCGGTACTGTTTTCTACAGGTGATGCACCATTTTACATCCCCACCAATAGTGTAAAAGGGTTTTAATTTCTGCCTAACCTCACCAAACCTTTACTTTCTTTTTTAAAAAAATTACCATATTAACTAGTGTGAGGTGATAGCTTGTTGTGATTCTGATTTACATTTCCCTGATGATTAATGATGTTGAGTATCTTTTCATATGCTTGTGGAAATCAGTCCAAAAGAATTATATATATATATATATATACACACATACATCTGTGTATATATACGTATATCAGATATTGTTAAATGAAAAATGCGAGCTCTGTATGATTTGCTACTACTGTGTAAAAAGAAAGGGACAGGATACATATCCACATAACTTTTGTGTGCATAGACGCCAGTAAAGACGCCTAAGAAATGGATTACAGCACACTGCATAGGGCAGGCAAGCATAGGAGGAAAAAATATTTAACATTGTATATGCCTTTGTCTTGTTTGAATTTTTTTTTAAAGATTTATTTGTTTATTTGTACAAGCGCTGGGTACAGTGAAGCACAGGAGGGTGAGAGAATTCACCAGAGTCAGAGTGTTATAGGGCAGGGAGAGGGGCAGCCCAAACCCCGCAAACCTGCCTATTCTAAATGGGTTCTGCCATCCGCCGCATCAACACAAAACATAAGAGACTCTAATGGGAAGGAACTTTAATAAAACTAGGAAACAATACAGGTAAGGCAAAGAGTCTAGTTTCTAAATGAAGCATCCAAAGTTACCCGTCCCCTCGTGGGTAAAAGTCCATCCAAATGGGAATGGCGCAGAGCAAGGCCCCAAAGCCTGCCACAAGTCTAAAGCATCTTCCAGTGGGGACCCACAGAAAAGGGTCAGAAACAACCAGAAAAGCCCGGAAGGAAAAGAGCAAAATCAACATCAAGATAAAAGCTGCCATTATCACCTCCCCACGGGTCTCACCCACATCTGTGTCACCCAGTCCACGACCAAAAGACAAGCGCAGTTTCTTCACGTGTCTCCTGGTTCCATCCTGCTTCCTTCCTCAGTCTCTTTTGCAGCTTCTCCTCTTCCTGCTCAGCTCCACCCTCCCTTGGGTGGGGCAGGGAACCTCCCCCTTTCCTGGGGACCAACCTGTTACAAGAGCTGAGGGGAGCAGCGGGTGGCAGGAGAGGTCTGCGCACCATGTGGGACCCTCCTCCGGTGGCCTTGGAGCAGCCGCGCAACCCAGTGCTCAACTGCTGTGCCACGGGAGAGGCCCTGGTTTGAATTTTTTATAACATTGGTATATTATCTTTCCAAAAAGTAATTTTTAAGGAACTAGGAGCACAGGGACAGAAAATAAAATAGAGGTTACAGGGACTGAAGGGGAAAGTGAATTGCAATTTGATGTTTGCACAGTTTCTATTTGAAATGATGAAATAGCTGTGAACCTAGTGGTGCTGTTTACACAATATTGTGAATGTACTTAATGCCACTGGACTGTACACTCAAAATGGTTAAAATGGCAAATTTTATGTCATGTATATTATGTCACAATAAAGCAAATTACAAATAAAAGAATGAGGGAACATAAGAGCAGGTAGAGGTTATTGCTATTTGTGAAAGAAAATAAGTACAGACTGTCCCCAACTTACAATGTTCTGCCTTCGGATATTTCAGCTTCACAATGGTGCAAAAGCCACATGCCTTCAGTGGAAATCACAATACTCTGCGATGCTGATGGGCACCGACAGTGAACTCAGGTCCCAGTCACTCAAACACAAGGATAAACAAACAATACTGTACTGTTTTTAACTTTCAGAGCAGTATTCAACACTTTATTAGAAAATTGGCTTTGTGTAGGCTAATACAAGTATTCTGAGCATGCCAAGGTAAGCTGAGCTGTGATGTTTGGTAGGTTAGGTATATTCAATACATTTTCAGCTTATGATATGTGCAACATACGATGGCTTTATCAGGATGTGCTCCCTCATCAATCAAGGAAGATCTGTGCATGCCAACAAACACATAGAAAAAAAAAAATCTGGGTGGGCCTCCCCGGTGGTGCAGCGGTTGAGCGCTGGGTTGCGAAGCTGCCCGCAGCCTTTGCAGCGCTGGTTCGATCCCCGGCTGCTCCCCCATTAGAGGAGGGTCCCACATGGCGCGCAGACCTCTCCTGCCACCCGCTGCTCCCCTCAGCAGTGTACTTCGGTCCTTCTGCCTGCTCTGCTCCCCGCTCTGGCTCTGGTGAATTCTCTCACCCTCCCGCGCTTCTGACTGTACTCAGTGCTTGTATAAATAAAAATAAATAAATCTTTAAAAGAAAGAAAGAAAAAAATCTGGGAGCGTACTATGAATACTGTGAGCCTAGAATTGCAGTGGATGTTGAGGGAATCTTTCAGTTTGATTCTATATACTTTATAAGTATTTGAATATTCTATGAGGATTTCTTTGGTAGTTAAAAAAATTTTTTGAAGGTATATTTGAAAAAAATCCAAAGTTGAGTTAGAACTCAAGTGATCCCTGAGAATTCTTTAATCTCACTTGATATGATCCCCTCACAGAGCTACAGAATTTTCTAAAATGTATAGTGACTGCATTCACAACAGTCACAGCCAAACCAAATTAGTTAGCCCTTTTACCAGAGGATGGAGAGCAAAGTGGGGAGGGGGCCCAATGGGTTCTGTTGGAGGCTTATGGATGCCTTCGTGGTGGGTGTGGTGTGTGACATACATCTGTAGAGGTGTGATCCTGATCCTGTACCTCTGGATCCTGCACAATGTTGCAAACCAATGTTACCTCAATTAAATAGTAAGTAAATAAATAATTAAAAAAATTTTTTGAAGGATACATAAAATGTGAATAGCAGTCATTTAAGTCTGTAGGGTAATGGGTTATTTTTCTCATTTATATTTGCTTTCTCTTTTTTGTAATAAAATATTGATTTTGCAATAAAAACTTTTTAAAGGGGAAAAAAAAGTTACTGGCTCTTAGAAGAGATTTGTTTTTAATGGACTTTTTATTTTCTTTTTTTAAA